GGGGGGGGGGGGGGGGGGGGGGGGGAGGGGGGGGGGGGGGGGATGGAGGGAGAAGTATTAACTCGGATACCGATAGTGAGATATCTTCTAGAAAGTATAATTCCTTGAAGGATGATACTTTGACTATATCTACAACTATATCTTCTACTGAAAGTGCTTCTTATGATAATGATAACAACTTTGAAGATCTTGATCGTCTTATTCATGAACGACACATAAAAGTAACTAATTGCGAAGCCAATTTCGAAGATTCAGAACCTGATCAAAGTAAACTTAAGACTTTGCTTAGTCTTTTAAAAAATTTAATCGGTGTTAAAGATATTGTCTCCTTGTAAGTATCGGCCAGTAGCAACTGTATATACTTCATCGTATTCATTTATTTTTGTTGATTGTTAATTTTCTACAAATTTTTTTTATATATACAGGCGAATTTCACTTCCATCACAACTTCTCGAACCTATTGGAAATTTAGAATATTGGAACTACAATGATAGGCCCGATTTTTTAACTTGGTAAACTTTATCAAAATCAACTAATTTCAAAAATGTTAATATATATTTATTTTAAACTCTAAACTTGTAATCTTGTAATCTGGAATTTCTAGTATTGGTGATTCTGATGACCCATTAGAAAGAATGTTTGCTGCAATTCGATGGTGGTATTCCAAAGACTTGAAATATGTTGTATGTATTACATATTTAACTTGTAAAATTTTTATATATCTACGTTAATAATTAATAATCTTGTCATTATTTATTAGAAAGGAAAATTGATAAAGCCATATAATTCAATCTTGGGCGAACAATTTATATGTCATTGGAATGTGCCCGCTCCAAAATTTGATAAAAATGGTCATTTCATAAATAATGATGAAACCAATAACAAAAATTATTTAGTTACATGTCTTAATGAACAAATATGTCATCACCCACCTATATCAGCTTTTCATTATAATTGTGAAGAAGCGGGTGTGTCAGCCTATGGAATAGATCAAATCGCGGCAAGATTCACTGGAACTAGTAGGTCTTATTTATTTAAGATCGAATACAGTATAGGCAATACTTACTCTAAATCAATTGTTAATAATCAATTTTATTAACGGTTGGCCTATACTGAATTCGATCATTTATTAAATATTATAATATTATATTCATTATATTCATAACGACTAATAATTCTTGTTTGTAATAAATTTAGCTGTAAAAATTGGTCCTGGCGATCAAAATAAAGGAATCTATATTAACTTGGCTAAAAGAGACAATGAAGAATATTTATTAACTCATCCTGGTACTATAAAACATATTTATTCTTTCATGCGTTATTATTATTATTATCTTTTTCTTTTTACAATTCCTAATTAATTTCTTTGATCGTAGTGGCTTCTGTTCAAGGGTGGCTTAAAGCCTCATTATATATCACCGTAAGTGAAAGTTGTATTGTAACATGCCCAAAAACAAAATTAAAAGCTATTTTAGAATATAAAGAAGAGGTATTGTTTTGACCTTCATTCATTTTATATACTTTCTGATAAATATATTTCGTTTTTATTTATTATACAATTTTTTTTTTTAATTATACAATTTTTAGCGATGGATTGGAAAGCCCAAATTCGCGATAGAAGGAAAAATTTTCAGATACGATCCAAACAATGATGATATAAAGAAACTA